TTAATGTGTATGGAAATCAGTCATTTTTATGGGTATTTATAATTTTCTCTGGCATATGTTTTATATCTGGTTTTGACTTGTCAATGCTAAGTCCGCTCATCTGTCCTAACTTGTTCTTGGAGTAAGTGGTGATCTGAAGAATCAAACACCTGTAGATATCACAATAGGATTTATGGAAAGTATATATTGGCAGGCTTTTTTTAAAAAACTGAAATGGGATGGCAGAGTTTATTTTGCATAGGAGTGATACCCTTTTCAGAAAGGGACAAAATGTATCTAGTTTGGATTGAATGAACTAATACTTTTCAGTTTTGTAAGAATATACTGTTACATATGCATGCAAATGCACTACTGATTCAATAGCATTTAACAATAATTCCTCTAAAATCTTTTTTTTTCAAAAATGAATTTGTACTATTGGTGGATCAATCTATATTGAACATTTTCAAATATCATATTACATATGCATGCTCATTGGTACCCAAATGAAATGTAGCATCTCCCTCAGATTTGCATGACCCCAATAAAAATCATGTTTCAAAAATTTATGCATGTGTATTATGCCATGTTTCTAAAAATTACTGTGTGCTTCTATAAAGCAGGTGGCTTCACAATCAGAATTTGCTTCTACATTACTAACTAAACCCTAATGGCTGATCAGTGGGATGCATCCTCTTCCTTTCATACTATATCTCTGCCCTGCATACCATATTCTTGAGTCCTATTTATAGAAGGTAGGATTTGGGAGTGGTTTAATCAGTTCAGTGAGGCCAAAGGAAAAAGATGTGCTGTTATTTCCCATAGATGTGGATCAGAGTTGTTGATTTTACTGCAAAAAATAGAAGTCAGGGAAAGAATTACTGTTTTTCCCTGAAGTATTTGGAGAACTCTTAAAATGAACTTAGTCTTAGTGGATTAAGGATTAACTAAGTGCCAGTTGTATTTTTGTTATGAATCACAAAATGATAGCTGTTATGTCTTAGCCTCAGAGATGTGGCTTCATCTCTGAGGCTCGCCATTGGTCGAGACGCGTGTATGTGCCAGAACAGGAGTGTCACCGTTCTCTGATTGGCTAACTGCGGGACTGCCTGCATATAAATTGCTGTCAAGCAGGAACTGTTTTTTATCTTGGTTTCTGGAGTTGCTGTTGCATTAGCTGTTTAATAAAGCCTTGTTAGCCGAGTCCTGCCTTGCCTCAGTCATTGCCACCCATCGAATATAATACTGGCAATGAGGATGGGATACTCTGAGGCATAAGAAGAGCTGTGTCACGTAAGGCAGACTTTCGTTGTTAATACAAGGCTTCCAGCTAATCGCTGAGGCAATCTCCTCAGATCGTATCTCCATCAGAATGGCCACTTTGAGCAATTTTGCATCGTTTGTGCCAGGGTTAGAGTCCCGGGAGGCTTACATTGACCGTTTTGAATGCTTCCTCAAGGCAAACCACCTGGCTAATTTGCCTAGTGAGGGAAAGAGGGCTCAGTTCCTGAACGCTTGTGGGCATGAGATGTTTGGAACAGCCAGGGCTTTGGCCGCCCCGCAATCAGTCCAGTCTCTTTCATGGGAGACCCTGTTGACGAGACTGCAGAACCATTACGCCCCAGCTCCGTCTCGCATAGCTAGGTGCATTGCATTCCAGCAAAGGCTTCAGAAGGAGGGGGAGTCAGTGAACCCGTACGTGGCTGCCCTCAGGGCTGCAGCACTGCACTGTGATTTTCCTAATCTAGATGACTCCCTACTTATGAGCNTCTCTCTCTCTCTCTGTGTTTGTGTGTGTGTGTGTGTAGACACATACATACACACACATATACAGAGAGAGAGAGAGACAAGAGACAGAGACAAAGAGAGAGAGAGCCACACAGAGAGTATTATACACACACATAACACTAATATATTTATGAACAATACTACTAGATGTAAAAGAATAAAACTCTGCCTAGAAGAGTTTACAGTATAATATGAAATAGAAAACAGGAGGAAAGGAAACAGTAGTTGTCTTGAATTTAGATCTAGTTTGTTGGTAGCACTTAGCTGAATTTGGCTTATCTAACAAAAGTAAAGTAGGATCTAATCTGTACTTGGATGGGAAACCACCAGGGAATATAGCTTGTAGCCTACATGGGAAGTCAGAACACATCCCAGAAGATGGCAGTAGTAAATCACTTATGTATGTTGCCAATCAATGTATCTCCAGGAGTCAACTCCATTTAAAGGTAGATTTTTGTGGGCACCATGGGCAACTTTTTAAGAGTGATAGTGTCTCTGGAATTGCGTTTATCACTAAATCATCTAATTTTTTTCAGCAGTAATTTTATGACATTTAACTAATCTTTTCACTAGGATTTTCTTTTTTGTAATCTTCACTGGTTCCTATAATGTAGAAAGTTGTGTGGGATATCTATGATTTCTCCCCTTGAGGCATGAAATATGTAATAGTCCTCTTCATTAATTTCCTTTTTTGTTCCCTGATTTACATAAACATTGGGGCCTAGTTATCAACCTATTGTTTGTTAACAAGAGAGTTCCAGTTAGGGTTAGAGAGATCTAGGATCTGTTAATACAATACACTAAAACAGTATTATTCTTTACTTGCATAATTAAGACAGCACTTATTCTTTCATATCACATGCCATGGCAATATTGTATTTGTGAATAATCTCACTAATCTTCCTGCATGAAACACACCTCAATCCTAAATTAGGAAAATAATGTTATATAAGATTGAAACTATTATAGGGCTTTCTTGGAAATGAATTTGGACATAAGTTGGATTTGCTTGTGGGAAAAAAAAAAGATTCATAGAACACGGTAACTGGAAGAGCAAAGTACCCCAAATTGAGGATTAAAATTCTAAAATGGAAAGTGAACAACATTGCTGAGAAGAAAAACATGTAGCTAATCTTGCAAGGGGAATGTGGGAATCTCAAGAGTTTTTGTGGAGTTGGAGAATCAAGTTTGGTTATGAACTCCTGAAAGAATTAGCAAGTATCTAATGCTATTGAAGCAAAATTTAGTTGACAGACTTCTAATAGTTATATTTTTAGTTGGGAAGTATTTTACTCCCATTTAGATCCTTTACATTGCGTAGACAAATATGGCTAACACAAATGAGCTAGAACACACATCATCTGATGAACACCACAGACATGTAGAATTTGACTGCTGTGTGTCAACATTAGTTTAAAAGGCTACTATCTTCATGGGGAGAAATGTGTTCATTGTTTTGCTTGTTCTGCAGTTTAAAAAAAACTTGTCTAGAGAAAATCAGAAACATCAAATAAATATAGAAATAGGTGTTTACAGAATGTAAGAGAAGGTGCAGGTATTGCAGTTTCCAAGTATTTTTCTGTTTATCAGGTTCTTTTAAAGTTTTATATCAGACTCTGTATTTTCTAAATTCTGAAATGACTTCAAAGGGGATTGCTATATTTTAAACTGGATTAAACAAATTAATGTGCCTTTTACTCCATGATTTCCCCCCAAAGTGCTAGAAAGTAAAATGTACTGTCTTGGGTAAAATGTGGCTAAAATTCAGTTATTTCAAATTAAATGTTTCCTGATTGTACACCATTGAAAGATTATTCACAATTCCTTTCCAATTCATCATGATCTGTTTTTTTTAGTTTGTTTGTTTTAATAAATTTGGCAGTACTTTCAGATTTGTGAGTTAAGAGGAAGAAATATTCTAATTTTGCATCTTAATGCTTTCTGTACAAAGCACAATACAATACAAGTTTTCATGAAGATCTCAATCCAAGTTCACCATAAAATGTGATTTTGCCTAAATTGCATAATGCAAAAAACAACAACCAGTAGCTGAAGGGAAATGAATATCCTGCTACTAATCATGCTAATTATTATTATGTTTGACTCATGGACTTTAACATGTGATAGAAGATAGGCATACCAGAAGAGAGTATTACTTCTTATTACATCTCTGAAGGGAGAGTGCTTCCATTGTGAAAATGTATCCTTGGATACACAGCTAGTACTTGACTTACAATAGCAATTGGAACTGGAGTTTCTGTCACTAAACAATGAAGTCATAAAGCATGACTGGAATGCTTAACAACAACAGTCCTCCTATACTCAGAGGAGGTAGAGGAATATTGCAGGATAATCTTCAATATATTTTCTTGTAGCTCCTTCTGAGTGGAACCTCTCCATATCCATTTGCACTAGTCAGGTGACCCTGAGGGCACAGATAAACCTCCAAGTGGCCTCAACAACGCTCAGAAAGAGTGCTAATGGCCAGATGACTACAAAGAATATAAATCATTCCATTTCCCACCATTCAATCACAACTGAAGATGCTTCTTGGATGAGAAGCAAAAATATTCAAAGAAAAACAAAAAAAATCCAGTTGCCTCTTTAAAAAGCATGTTTTTGGCCCCCATCCTTGTTAACCTTCCAGAAATCTTTAAAGCATGCATATGCCAGCACACTTGGGGATCAAAAAGATATGACAATTTAATGAAATGGCATTACCTTTTACATAAATTTTCTCAGCCAATTTGTTACCAATAATATTGTTAATGTTTGTTAGTTGTACTTGTTTTAATATTTTGATTTTATGAATATTGTGTGCTACCCAGAGTCACTTTTAAATGAGATGCATGTCTACATAAATGTAATAAATAAATATTATTTAATAGATTTTGATGTTATCATATAGATACACCATATTTACAGAGATGACCACATTACACTGGTACCAAATGTTATTAATATTATATGTGAAAAACTAAAAAATTTTTTTAGTTTTACTCCATTTTGAACTTTTGAGGCTTCCTTAATTTAACTATTGAGCATCTTTCTGTTTTCATACATAAATTTATTTATTTTTTGTAATGGGAAATGGTTAATAAATACAAATTGCTGTTCTTTACTTTATTATATTGAAACTGTTGGTACAGTATATTCCAACCTAACTTGACAGACACTTGTAGGATTACTGTTTTTTTTTTACAAGACTTTCTGTTCTAAATGTCAATTTATAGGTTCATCACAACAGAATTAGTTTCTTTATAAATGGTTTGGAAGATGATGATACAGCCTTCGATTCCAGAATTCTCACAGGGCTAATAGCAGATCCCTCTGTTGATGGTGAATGGAGAATTGGGCAAAATTTAAATGGTGAGTGGTTTTGATGGAAAGTCTAGAATAGACATATAATAGTAACTAAAAATAGATTGCATAGCGATGCAATATTCAACATTATTATTATATACTTTATTCATTAAACATGAAACAAGGTCAACTGAACATTTAAAAATGCATCACAAATATCATTGACTGGTGCTAATGGTTGGTACGGGTTGTTGCCAGCATCCTAAGTATCAACCAAGCACCATATTAAGATGTATGATGTTCCGAGTAGCACAATTTTTTGCAGTTCCGCTGGTGTTATTGCAGGAAGCTGCAATTTGTTGATGTATTTGTTGATTTGTTCTTGGCCATGGTACCAAGTGCCCCAATGAAATAGGTGTCAACTGTTACATGTTAGGGTTTTTCAAGTCATTATGCTGCAACATGTGTAATCATACAGTCCATTCATTGTAATCATAATCATGTAATTTACTCATTGCATATGGTACAAGTACTCTGTTTATAATGTTACTTTAATATAACAATAATTGGCTAAATGACCTTTCCCATTTTTTTCTTGCATTCAATCATGTCTAATTCTTGAGGATTTCTTGGCAAGGTTTTTCAGAAGTGGCTTGCCATTTCACTCCTTCCTAGGGCTGAGAGAATGTGATTGGGCTAAGTCACCCAGGTGGCTTTATGACCCATATCAGAGCTAGAATTCACAGTCTCCTGGTTTCTAGCCTGATGCTTTAACCACTACATCAGGCTGGCTCTCACTTTTTCTATTAGTAGCCATCAATAGAATGATAATGTAGCTCAGTAACTCACCTTACTCAAGTTAAAATAGAGCTTTCTCAAGACAATTTGGAGAGAGGCTTGGATGTCTGATTTAAGGGCTGGACAAGAGTGAATAGAACAAGTATGCCATCTTTTCATGGATAAAGATCTCATTGTTGCAAAGCCAAAACTGAATTATTTTTTAATTCTAATGTATTCTTTACATGTGATTGGGTTAGAATTACAAGTTTTTAGAGGATAAATAATAGAATATGGAAACTTATCATGATGACTGCATTCTAACCACATAACACAATGGTTAGAATGCAGTATTGCAGACTAACTCTGCCCATAGCCAGAGTTCAATCCTGACCGGCTCAAGATTGACTCAGCATTCCATCCTTCCAAGGTTGGGAAAATGAGGATCCAGATTGTTGGGGGCCTTATGCTGATGTTGTAAATCACTTAAAGAGGGCGGTAAAGCCCTGTGAAGTAGAATAGAAATTTAAGTGCTATTGCTATTGTCACATATGTGATTTTACTGATTTTGGCGATTTAAGATCTATACCTTTATTCGCCTTCTTTCTCAAGTGTTTGAATTGTAAACTGTTTTTGTTTTGTTTCTGCAATAAGAAATTTAAGTTCCTAAGTCAGTTAAAAACACAATATTAAAACTTTTGGGGAAGTTACATTTAGTAAGCTAAGGAAAAGGAGTAAGGGAAAAATATGTCTCAGGAATACCAATGTATTGAAGTAATCCTGAGTGAATATTTGGTGATGACGAGATTAACCCCCCACCCATTTTCTGACCATGGTTGTCAATATAAGGTTTCAGTGATTTTGCAGCTCTCTGAAATTCTGTTTGGTGATGAATTGGTTCTGCAGATTTATTAAGGCTGAGTATCACTGATCCAGAACAAACTGTAATTTGGAGCTGAGTCCTAAATATATCTGCATCTGGCCTGAAGAAAGTTTGATTTATTCTCAAAAACCACTGAGCTCCTATACATCAAAAGTTGAAAGTTTTCTCGTTTCAAAGTGCTTGTGTTTGGCACTGTTATTTTAAAATACCAGATACAGAACACTTATGCAAGACAGAAAGAAATGTTAAAAATAAACCTTTAATTTTTATCACGTAAAGTGATAGCTACAGTTGTCTCCAGTATATCTCTTCTCTAATTAGAGATGGCACATGGACTGGCTCATTACTTCTGTCTAATGAGCCAGTTTTTCTGCCACCTCTGTAATCAGATAAGGGATAGGTACAAAATGTTCCCATAAAGTTATTATAAATCATTTTAATCAAAAGAATTAAGTTACTGCCCTCCATAGTTTTGTCTGGAACCAAGATGGTTTCATTCAGAAAAGGTAATTGTGCAAGAGAGAGCTCTGTGTGCTGAATTTAAGATTTCCTCAAGCAGCACAGAGTTGTTTTCTGGTTGATGGAACTGGATTATTTATTTATAATGTATTTTTGCAGGTTCAGAGCAATTTGTCGGGAGGATGCAAGATTTCAGATTGTACCAAATGGCCCTTACAAACAGGTAGGGACTTTCTCAATTTTACAAAACTTAAAAATGCAATTATCAAGATAAAAAAGAGGTAACGATGACAAGATGGTATCTTGGGCTTTTTTTTATTTAAAAAAAAGGCATTGGATGTGTAACTGTAACCTCATGCAACCTGAATGCAAAGAAGGCTTTTAATTGGCTGCATGGATTCAAGCAATTGTACTTTCAAGATATTAAGCAAGAAATTAAACAATCAAAAGCCCCTGTACACCAATTACATAATATCCATATGTTGTGAGATTTTCCTAAAGCATAACTGATTTCTTTATGACATCTCCCTAATTCTCATGTAAAACATTCACACTGAAACACTGTAAATACAGTCAACTGTTGTAGAACATGGAAAACCTATGTCTGCCTTCAGAACTTTTATACAGTCCTTCCCTCTCAGTCAAAAATGCTACATTTAATAAGCAAAAGAAATAGGTTAGATCAAATAGAAATCTGTATCTATAGTAGACNGAAGGCCTGATGAAGGAGTTTGCTGCAGTTTTTGATGGGTCATTAGGTAATTATAAGGGAACCCCCATTAGTTTTAATTTGGACCCTCAGATTGCTCCCATCCGTCTCAAGCCCAGAAGGGTCCCCCTGGCCCTGTGTCCAAAAGTGGACGCTGAACTGGATAAGTTGATTGCCCAAGGGGTTTTAGAGCCCGTGGATTATTCCAAATGGGAGACCCCAATCATGATTCCTCTGAAATCCAATGGCTCTGTTAGATTGTGTGGAGATTTTAAATGCACAATAAATAGGGGTATCCAATCCAACCCCTGCTTTATACATTGGAGCGGGGCTCTATTTTTGCCAAACTGGACCTCGCCCAGGTGTATCAGCAGCTCTCTGTGGATGCTTCATCACCCACAGGGGAGCTTTTAAATGCCAGCAGGTCCAGTTTGGTGTCAGTGTAGCCCCGGGTATTTTCCAGAGCCTCCTAGAGCGACTGTTCCATGGCATTCCAGGGGTTGTCCCGTACTTCAATGATGTGCTTATTTCTGCCAAAAGCAGCACTGAACTCATGGCACGGTTGCGTGCCATTTTGTCGAAGTTCCAGGAGGTGGGGTTAAAACTTAAGCCTTCTAAATGTCAGATAGAGGTAACTGAAGTGGAGTTTTTGGGGTATCTGATTGGGCATCCATCCTACCACCTCTAAAAGTGGCTGCCATTAAGCAGGCTCCTGTACCGACCAATAAGGCCCAATTGCAAGCTTTCCATGGCCTCCTCTATTTTTACTCTGTTTTTTTGCCCCATAAAGCCTCTGTTGCGGAACCCCTACACCAGCTTCTCGATAGCGGGGCTACGTGGAGGTGGGATCGTAAAGGGGTAGCACTTTTGTGGCCATCAAGGAGCTATTAACTTCCAAAGCTGTCCTTGTCCAGTATTGCAATCACCTTCCCCTGACGCTCACATGTGACGTGTCACCTTTTGGGGTGGGTGCTGTCCTGAGCCACAAGCTTCCAAATGGGTCTGAGGTGGCACTGGCATATTTTTCAAGGACCCTGTCCCTTCTGGAACTAATTATAGTCAATTGGATAAGGAGGCGTTAACAGCAGTAGCTGGAATTAAACGATTCCACAACTACCTATAGAGACGTTTCTTTGAGCTAGTCACAGACCATAAGCCTTTATAAGTGTTATTGGCAAGCGATAGACAAACTCCTATGATATTATTGCCTCGCATGTCCCATTGCTGCATACAATTATAAACTTGTCTATCGGCCTGGGAAGCAGGTGGGGCATGCTGATGCCCTAAGCCGTTGCCTCCTGCTGGCATCCAAGGCTGACCCGGATCCTGACCCCCCAGTGTTACTGATTGAGGACCTTCCAGTTCCCTTAACAGCCACAGATATTGCCACCCATTCGGCTAGGGACGCTACTTTGGCTCAGGTCTTAGATTGGGTGAGGAGGGGTTGGCCGCAGATGCAGTTTCCCTCGCAGTTCGTAGAGTTCAAGTACAGGCAGCATGAACTGTCGGTACAAGGGGGGTGTCTACTGTGGGGCCATAGAGTGGTCATTCCTCCTCAACTGTGGGAACCTATCCTCCACTATCTGCACGAGGGGCATCCTGGGATAGTAAGGATGAAGGCCCTGGGCCGGAGCTACGTGTGGTGGCCTGGTTTGGATCAGGATATTGCACAGTGGG